ACAAGACAGACAGAATAGAGACAGCATGTGTGCCCAGGCCAGCTGATACATTTTCCTTCTGGAAAGGAGTGGACTTTGGTCCTCATCACTCAAGCCACATAGATAGGAGGGACATCTGAATGATCCCCACCCAGAATGCTGATTTTTTCATACACAAGGATGTTAGTCACCAGCAAACTTGGCCCACCTAGAATCCTGGCACGTTTCCAATCAGATCAGCACTCTTAGTCCCTGGAAAAGGGAAGGTGTGAAAGTCAACAGCCAAAGGAGCAGGAAGTCTTTTACTTTTCTCTTACAGACCTTCACTATTATCTTTTCTTTTACCATACAATGCAGTCTTAGCCCTCCAAGGCCCTAACGTGTTATACCCTGAGCCCAAGAGAGTTAACATAATATTTCAAGACCAGACAATAGTTTTTTCAGAGAAAAAAACATGACCTCATCAAAATTAAAATACACAACCTTCCATGACCTGATATTTAAATGTCAGCTTTAGCTTCAGATAATCTTTTATGTTTTGCCTTCCCACACCTCAAAATTCAAGTGTTAGGTGATTATCTACAAAAGTTGGATTGAAGGTATGCATGAAGGATCCTCGCAGCCTGAAACAAACATAGCCCTGTCACACTGCCTCATACTGACATAATTATTTGTTTGCCTGTTTATCTTCTCCACTAGACTTAGAAGTCCTTAGAGGTGAGATTGTGCCCTTTCATCATTGAATACTAAGAACAATAACTCATGAACTTGCCATTCATTGAACTAGTAATATGTGTCAGACATGGCACTAATTGTTTTCAGGCATTTCATCTTCACACAAACCTATGAGATGGCTATTATTTACCCCATTTCCCAGATAAGAAGATTGAGATTAAGCAAGATTAAGAAATTTACTTAATAATCATGAAGTTTGAGAGTGACAGAGCTGTGCAATGCCAAATTCTGTGCTGAATAATGACCCATTCAAAGATGTCCACATCCTAATTCTTGGAACCTGTGAATGTTACCTTATATGGAAAATAAGACTTTATAGATGTGATTAAAGGTTTTTGGGTTTGGAGATTAGCCTAGATTATCCAGGTGGGCTCAATGTAATCACAAGAATCCTTATAAGAGGGAGGTAGATCAATCACATTGAGTAGTAGGAGATGTGAAAACAGAAGCAAGAGTTGAAGTGATTGAGGAAGAGGCCATGAACCAAGGAATGCAGGAGGCCTCTTAGAAGCTGGAAAAGGCAAGGAAACAGATTCTCCTCTAGACCCTCCAGAAGGAATACACACCTGCCAATACCAGGATTTTAGACTTCTGACCTGCAGAACAGGAAGATAATAAATTTGTGTTGTTGTAAATCACTAAGTTTGTGGTAATTAATTACAGTGGCAATACAGTGCTCTTTGCCCCTGTACTTATCTGGCCTTTACATCCCAAGACCTAAGGCAGTCAGTCAATGGATATTTGCTAAGTGAACTGCTGAATGAGGAAGAGATTTTCCTCTAAGGCTTCTCCCACTTAGCCCAACCTGGACTCCTGACCAGGCGAATCTAGCCTCCCTTAGAGAGAGGCAGACAGAAGCAGCACAGGTATATCTGGGGTGGTATTTGTTTTCCCAATTGCTAAATTGAACGGATGTGCTAGTCATAGTCTGAAGGTCATTCCATGTCAGTCAGAGTGCCCTTAAAAGACCTGACAAAACGTGACCCTGATTTACAGCTGTGATTTAGAGCCCCCAGGGGCTGGAGGGAGAGAGGAGGAGGATGGGAACTGGCTATTTTTATGTCACAACTTAGGATCTTTTTTCCATTTCCTATAACAGTGCATTAAACATCACGAATGATTCAGCTGAAATTATACACAGCATGAGTAAAAAGATGAGCAGAAATCTTATTTTATAATCCAATTCCTTTATAAAAACTATGTCATGACAAACTAGAGCAATGAATGCACATATACATGCTGCTAATGCATATAACTCTGCTTTCTTCTTTCTTGAAGAGCATCATGGCCTGTTCTTTAAATCAAGAAGATGATATTTTCTATATTAGTATCAATAAGGGGATAGTTTTCCAAATTAATAAATTCAGTACAACCCATAGCTTAGCTGCTTAAGAAATGAAGAGCTGAAAAACGTAAACATTGTTTAGGTTTCACAGATGGCTCATCATGCCATGAAGGGTTAGTTCCCCTTCCTGTATTCCAGTTTCTCTAGCCAGGTTAACACCCTACAGTTAGAAAGTAAAAAAACTTCAAAACACCTTTTGATCTTTTAAGAACAAGAACTAAATAAACAGAAAGATGGTTACAATCCCAACTAAAAGCAATCATCTAGAGCTGAATTTCAAATTCATATGTGTTTGTATTCCATAGTCTATTTGTAATCAACATGGAAGGTGAAATAAATCACTGGGTAGATCTAACGTAAAATCAGCCCCTGCCCTCAGTCTAGACCTTCTGATTAGATTGGCAATTCCCATGGCATTCCCAGCTGCCTGATTTTGCAGCCAAGGTGCCCAGGGGTCCTGAGTGGCTCTGGAATCTGAATAAATCACACACACTAGGGATCCATCAAGACCACCAGCAACCCAATTTTTTTGTGACCTGAGACAGGATTTTATTTCTTCTCAGATTAACAGTTAAAAATGGTTTGCTTTTCTGCCTCAGAGGTATTCATTTGATGTATGAGGCAGGGAGATTATTAAATCTTTGGTGGCATCCAAAGATGTAAATTAACCCACAGTACCTCCTGAGCGAGAGATTGATTATTAACTTGTCACTCTTGCATGCTCATCAAAGCAAGCAGCACCATGATTAATCACATCTGTTATTTAAGGGTACCTATCATGCCAACTTTTTGTGGACAGTATATTACAGTCTCCTGATTTCTTTACAGAACTATAGCACGAGGACTTTGCCAGGGGAGGAGAGAGTTACTGTCCTCTCCTAATCATGTCTGTGAATATATTTGAAAGAAAGATGGCATGTATGTAATTGCACATTGTTCTTTTAGCCTTAAATGAAGCTGTATTTCCTTTTGCCTTCCCTTGCCTGTTCACAAGACATCACACTGCCTGATTCTGCTCATCTGGACATCTTTCAAAGACTTTGAAGAGGTCTGGCACTAAATGGACATAAACTCTGAAGTTCTCTTTTCAGTTCTGTCATTCACAATTCAATTCAACAAATACAATATTTATTAGGTTCCTTGTATGTGACAAACAGCAAATATGAATTTATTTATTCATTTCTTCATACATTTATTTAATGTCTTTTATGTGCACAAACAGTGAACAGTCCTTGCCCCCATGAAGTTATAGCCTTGTTACCCCCTTTCCCAAGGCGTTTGTCTCTCCATTTTATGAACAGGGGAAAATGGAGGGACAGTGAGAACCTGGGAAAAAGAGAAGAAAAGCAGAGTGTATCCCTTCTAAGTTAAGTTAGCACAAAATAGACACTAAATTGAGTCAGGATTAATAAGGCATCTGTGAGCTTTATTCCCTCCTCCTAGTCCAGTGTGAGTCTTCAGGACTGAACTCACTGAAACCATGGCATTTCACCTGTTTTTTTTTTTTACTGTACCTATCATATCACAGGTTATCTGGTTTGCTGAATAATCACTGAAGCACAGGATATTTTCAAATGAATGTTTAGGTATGGCTGCATTGCCTCAGAGCAGCCAATAGAAAAATTCACCTCTACTAGTCTAAATTGTAGGATAATTATTTTATTTTTTTAAAAAGAAATCGTTTCCTGATTATATCTTGTCTCCCTCTTTAAAAGCTTTTATTATGAAAATTAAAAAAATACAAAAAAATGATAATAAAATAAAACCCCATGTACCTACCATCTAACTTCAGTAATTATCAATATTTTGTCATTCTTGTTTTTATCACATTTCTCTCTCCCTTCACCTTTTTTGAGTATTTTTAAATAAATTCCCAATGTCATACCATTTCACCTTCAAATACATCAGAATTTATCTGACAAATAAGATTTTTTTCAAAAACTATAATATCATTATAGTAGTTAACAAAATAACAATAATTCTTTAATATCTTCTAATACCAAGCCCATGTTCAAATGTCCCTGGTTGTCTAAAATAACTCTTTTTGGATTGAAACAGAATCCAAACAAAGTCTACACATTGGATTTTGTTGATGTGTCTTTCATTTACACCTTTTCTCCCCATGTCCTTTTGAATATCACTAAAATGATCTTCAATATTTGATTTTTACCTAGAATAAACAAATCCATCTAAACTTAACATATGTTCCTGGTGATATCTCATTATATAATATTTTCTTTTTCTTTTTTAGCTGAGCCATCCTGTCACCTGTTGGCAGCTCAGTAGCAGCTCAGCTCGGGCCCATGTGGGACTCAAACCAGCGACCCTGTTGCTCAGAGCTTGCACTCTTGAGAGAGCTCTTAACCAACTGAGCCACTCAGCCGGCCCTCATTATGCAATATTTACAAGGACAGCATGATCATACAATTTATCATTCAAACAAAGGAAGTCTTGAGTGAAAAGGGGATGCTATTAATAACTATACTGGTGTAAACCAAAACAAATAGTCACCCTACAAGCAGAGATATTGGAAATAAAAAAGGAAGATCAGGGTCCTGTTTCTAATTAGGTGCAGAGAGGTGGAAAAGAGCTAGAAAGAATGAAAGAATGTCACTCCCACCCTTATAAGTAAAAATACAAAAGTTGAACAAACTGCAAGTTAACAACTTTTCCAGGATCCATCAAAGAGTTGAAGTTGAGAAAATGCCAACTAAACCAAAATTTGAGGAGAAACAAGTGCCTATAGGGAGACATGGAATACAAGCATTTGTTTACGTGGGGTATTTGAACACCAGTAAAAAGAATTCAACTAGAATTGTTAACAAACTGGTAGAAGCTGAGTATTGACTGGTAATAGTATGGAACCCTAAAGGCTTTAGATATAAGGAGAGTTCACAACATTCACAGGCTTTGTTCTCTATGGATCCTAATGGGTACTCACCAAAAATGATGGCGAGAGTCCTGACAAAGCATTCCTCATGGTACAGGCTTCTTATCTTCCCTATAAAAGAAAATTTAAAAATCACTGGGAATGTGGTGTACAAAAAAATCAAGCGAAAAAAAAGAAAACTCCACAATGGCAAGAGACAAATCAATCAACCGAACCAGACTCATGTATTAAAAAAATGTTGGCACTATCAGGTACAGAATTTAATATAACTATGAAAAAATATGTCAAAGTCTCCAATAGAAAAATTGGACATCATTCATTGTCAGATGAATAATTTCAGCAGATGGAAACTGTAAGAAAGAAATTAAATGAAGATGCTAAAAATGAAAAACATAGTAATAGCGATCAAGGTTGTCATTGACAGCCTCATCTGTAGACTTAACAGAGCTAAGGAAAGAATCAGTGAACTTGGAAATATCCAAACTGAAAAACAAAGGGGAAAAAAAAGAGTAAAAAATAAAATCAGAACATAGCATCCAGGAACTGTAAGACAAAACTAAATGATCTAACAGATGTACAATTAAAATTCCAGAAGGAAAAAATACAGAGACTGGAGTAGAATATTTGAAGGGATAATGGCTAAGAATTTCCAAAATTAATGACATACATCAAACTACAGATCCAAATCACCAACCAAGATAAATACTCAAGCCAGAGATAGCCATATCATATTCAACTTCTGAAAACACAAAACAAAGAGAAAATCTTGAAGGCAGCCAAAGTGGGAGAAGGGGGAAGTGGGGTGAAAATGGGGCATTACTAGAGAGAAATAACCATAAGAATTATAACAGCCATCTTGTTAAAAACCATACCACCTAGAAGAGTAAAGTGAAATTTTTAAAGGGCTGAATGAGAGAGTGACATCATCAAGATGGCAAAATAGACTCTAGCTCCCATCTTCCCACAAAGGACAACAAATAGACACGTATCCATGAATGAAAATAGCTCTGGGACTACTCAGGAGCCCACTTAAGAAGCTTTAACAACACAGTGGAGAAAAAAAACAAAACTGAGAATAACCATATAAAAAGTGTAGGAAGAACAGCTTCATTTTGCCTGCATCATCCCATCCCCCAAGAGGGAATCCCCCAGCCTCAAAGAGTTCCCCTTACCAATAAAAGGAAAGCAGGGTGAGCAACCAGCTTCTTTAGCCTTTCAAAGAACTACACAAAGAACCTACCTCAATTTCACCCCACCCGGAGACCAGCAAAGCTCAGATGTCTAGAGGTGGCTAGGAACAGAGAAGAAGGGCAGGAGCTACTAGTATCAGCCACACAAATGAGCTACTGCAGTTCCCAATGGCTTCCTCAGCAGAGGACCACAGAAGTCTTCACTACTGAGGACCTCAACAGTGCTTGCAGATGCTGCAGACACCCTCCCCAGCTTTCATAACTGAGTATCTCACTGCAGATCCCAGCAGGCTGCTCAGAGGACTCTAGAAGTTTTTGCGGTTGAGGAAACCAATGGCCAGCACAGCCACTGCAGACCCCTTGCAAATTTTGCCACTGATCTTTTCACCCTACAGGTTTTCACACTCACAGATGCCAATAAAATAGTAGCAAACCAAATTCAACGATATATTAAAAGGATCAAGTAGGATTTATTCCAGGGATGCAAGATAGTTCAACATCTGCAAATCAATGTGATACACATCAACAAAATGAAGGATAAAAATCATAAGATTATCTCAATAGATACAGAAAAAGCATTTGACAAAATTCAACAACCATTTATGATTTAAAAAAAACTCTCAACAAGCTGGGTATAAAGGAAATGTACCTCAATATAATAAAGGTCATACATGGCAAGCCCACAGCTAACCTCATACTTAATGGTGAAAAGCTGAAAGCTATTTCTCTAAGATCAGGAACAAGACAAGGATGCTCATTCTCACCACTTTTATTCAACACAGTACTGGAAGTCCTAGCCAGAGTAATTTGACAAGAAAAAGAAATAAAAGGCATCCAAATTAGAATTAAGAAGTAAAACTGTCACTACTTGCAGATGGCATGATATTATATATAGAAAACCCTAAAGATTCCACCAAAAAACTGTTAACACTAATAAACAAATTCAGTAAAATGTAAGATACAAACAAAATCAATATACAAAAATCTGTGATTTCTATACACTAATAACAAACTATCAGAAAGAGAAATTAAGAAAACAATCCCATTTTTCAATTGCATCTAAAAGAATAAAATACCTAAAAATAAATTTAACCAATAAGGTGAAAGACCTGTACACTGAAAATTATAAGACACTGATGAAAGAATTGCAGAAGACACAAATAAATAGACAGATATTCCATGCTCAAAGACTGAAAGAATACTGATAAAATATCTATACTACCCAAAGCAATCTATAGATTAAAACTGGTCCACTGTTTTGCACCATATAAAAAAATCAACTCAAAATGGATCAAAGATTTGAATGTAAGACCTGAAGCCGTAAAACTCCTAGAAGAAAACATAGGCCAAAAGCTCTTTGACATCTGTCTTGGTATAATTTTTTGGATTTGACACCAAAAGCAAAGGAGAGAAAAGCAAAACTAAACAAGTGGGGCTACAGTAAACTAAAAGGCTTCTGTACAGCAAAGGAAACCATCAATAAAATGAAAAGACAACCTACTGAATGAGACAAAGTATTTGCAAATCATATCTGATAAGAGGTTAATAGCCAAAATATATAAAGAAGTCATACAACTCAATAGCAAAAAAACAATCTGATTTAAAATGGGCAGAGGATCCAAATAGATATTTTTCCAAAAAAGGCATACAGATGGCCAACAAGTACATGAAAAAGTGCTCAACATCACTAATCATCATGGAAATGAAAATCAAAACCACAAGGGGTATTACTTCACTCCTGTTAGAATGGCTATTATAAAAAAGACAAGAAATAATAAATAATGGTGAAGATGTGGAGAAAAGGGAACCCGCCTGTACTGTTGACGGAGATGTAAATTGGTACAGCCACTGTTTTACTCCTCTAAAAGAGTATGGAGATTCCTTAAAAAATTAAAAATAGAACTACCACGTGATCCAGCAATTCCACTTCTGGGTATTTATCCAAAGGAAGTGGAAACACTAACTCAAAAGAGATATGCACCCTCAGGTTCATTGCAGCATTATTCACAATAGCCAAGACATGGAAACAACCTAAGTATCCATGAATGGATGAATGGATAAAGAAAATGTGAGACTGGTGTATATATATATATATATATATATATATATATATATATATATATAAAATCGGGGATGCCAAAAAAATGTATACACATTTTAAGAAAGGAAAAAACTATTAAAATTTTAATACTCAGTATACATCAATAACAAAAGATGAATACAAGTCATATGTATACAGTTTTTTAATATTCTCTGTATACATATATCAAATCATTATGTGGTATACCTAAAACTAATGTTATATGTCAATTATATCTCAAGTTTTAAAAAATAAAGCAGAAATTGCTGAGTTAAAAAAACAGAAAAGAAAATAAGTAAACTAAAAAAGCTGGTTCTTTGAAAATTAATCAACAAAAAAGAAATAATCTGATTATTAAAGGATGGGGAGAAAGCACAAGTACACAAACAAAAGAAACAAGCTCAAAACAGGAAATTTTTTTTTAATCATGAGACTACTTTGTACAACTCTATGAGAAAAACACTTTAAAAGAAAATCTGGATGAAATAAATAGCATTCTAGGTAAATATACCAAAACTGACACCAGAGATAAAAGCTCTAATCAAATAAATTTTGTAAAAAGTTGGTAACTAAGGGCCGGCCAAGTGGCTCAGTTGGTTAAGAGCTCGCTCAAGAGTTTGAGCTCTGAGCAACAGCAGTTCGATGCCCGGCCCGAGCTGAGCAGCCACTGAGCTGCCAACAGGTGGCAGGATGGCTCAGCTGAAAAAAAAAAAAAAAGTTGGTAACTACAACATTGCCACAGGAATATGAAAAACAGTTTGGGGAATATAATCAACAATGTTACAGATATTTTGTAGGGTGTCAAATGGACACATGTCTTGTTAGAAAGACCACTTCATGGATGGTGTAGATGCCTGACCACTGCACTGTACACCTAAAGCTAAAGTTGAATAATATTGTATGTTAACTACTATAATTTAATGCATATATAGTCACAGGATGTGAAGTACAGCATGGGGAGTGGAGTCAATGGAATTGTAATAGATATGTATGATATCGGGGGCGGGGAGTGGATTTGGGGCAGAAGGGTTGTCACTTTGTGAAGGGTGAAAAGTATAACTATTGCATTGCTTTCTACACCTGAAATTAATAATAAAAAGAAGAAGGAGGAGGGGGTAGAGGAGAAGAGAAGAAATATAGAGTCACAAAAGAGCTCCCCTGCAAAGAAGACACCAGGCTTAGCCGGTTTCACAATTAAGTAAACCAAACCTTTAAAGGTCAAATGATGCAAATGCTACTTAAACTATTTCAAAGCATAGAAAAAAAGAAACTGTTCAAATCACTTTTATAAAGCAAATCTAACATTGATTCTAAAACCAGACAAATATTGCTCAATAAAACAAAACTATATACCAATGTCACTTATGAATACAAAAATTTTAAATAATTAACAAATAGAATCCAATAATCCATCATGATCAAGCAGTGCTTACTCCTGAAATGTAAGAGGGATTTAATATTAGGAAATCCATTAATATAATTAATCATATTAATAGAACTAAAGAGAAAAAATATGCTCATCTCCACAGATTTAAAAAATGGAAAAACTAAACATTCATTTATATTTTTAAAAAGCCTCAAAAATAGGAATTAATACCTCATTAATATAAATTAAAATATTAATAAAAAATAAAAAATCAGCATCTGATATAATGGGGAAACACTAGAGCAGCAGTTCTCAAAATGTGGTCTGTGGGCCCAAACCAAGAAAGACATCATTTACTTTCCACTATGTTAATAGTCACACTGATGATGCAAAAGCAGTGGTGGGCAAAACTGCTGGTGCCTCAGCACAAATCAAGGTAGTGGCACTAAACTGGACTAGTAGTCATTGTATTTTT